GTATTTGAACGTGTCCCACGCCCCCCGAGGAATTCGGACAACGCGATCTGGGCGTGGTAACGAGGCTGGTTTTGGGCTCCTCCCATCGCGCGTTCAGCAACAGTTTACAGGTTTACAGTGGGAAGCAGAAAGCAAGACTGCAAAAGTTGGGGGCTTGAAAGTGGAACTGGTGCAGGGAGCATGAAAGCCTAATCTTCGCAGCCTGATGGCCCCACAAGGGGGCCCGCGGATTTCTGGCACGTGGTCCCTCAGTACGATGGGAATAGCATAACCCGGGGGCCCGTTTCGACATCCTCTCCCCCATCCTCGTCAGAGCCACCGACAAGAGGGCGGCGGTGGCCGACGAGCCCCAGAGCTAGACGCTCTAATCGCCGCGGCTCGGAGAACCGGGACGACAGACAGACAGACGGACGGACGGACGGACGTACGGACAGACAGCCAGGCGGCGTGCAATGCTTGGCAAGCCAGAGGACGAGGATGAGGTCGGGGTGATGGGGGCGGGGGAGGAGATTGGAAGGAGGGGGAGTAGCTGAATGAATCGGGGGAAGGTTTCAAACACTATGGCTGGCGCAGTCCTGGGAAGCACGTTGGTCGCAAGCCACCACCGCCGTTGACACTCAATATTTGGGCATTCATATGGCAAAGCGACGGCAAACGCTAGGGTTGGGTCCCAGTGTCACCGCTGGCTGTGAGTTTAGAGAGGATGAGCCGAGGAAGAGAGGTATGTGGGGGGATGTGAAAGAGTAGGAGGAAGAGGTGGATGCGTGGGGGGAGGGGGGCTATGAGGAGGAGGAGGGAGGGCGACGAGGAGGAGGAAAAGGACCGAAGAGGAGAGCCATGAGGAGGAGGAGTAATGGGACGACTGCCCCTACCTTCCCACCCATCGGGCTCCTCTTGCCGCCGCTCGCCCCGACGGGATCATTAGCAGCCGAATGAAGCCACAAAGTTCAGTGGTGCCAGCGCTTGGACACCGTACCGTCGTTTCTGTTTCTCCCGACCTTTAAGTTTTGCGCGCAAGCCATGCGGCACAACCGCAGGTGACCAACAATAGGGTACAGTGGGGGCGCGCATCAAGAAACCACATGGTTTATGTCAGGGTATCCTGGGTTTCTTCGCTCCTCGCGCTGCGCGGTGACTTCCCGCAGCCGTTGAAGGAGCTGCTGCGTTCAGGGTGCTCCAGGTTTCCCCTCAGGCGCACCTCGCGCACGGCTTCTCAGGGCCCGGTTTCTTGCGAGGGCTTCTTGCGGCCGCGCCCGCACTGCACAGAAGGACACCAACCGTGGGACACCGCTCACAGGGCCACCACCAAGTCTTGCCATCGCTCGGGCGTGCTCATAGTTTTTCTCGGCGAGGCCAGCGACGGAACCTCTGGACCGCCCTGGGAAGGAAAGGAGGAGGAGGGAGGAGGAGGAAGAGGAGGAGGAGGAGGAGGAGGAGGAGGGGGAGGAGGAGGAGGAGGAGGAGGAGGAGGAGGAGGAGGAGGAGGAGGAGGAGCTCGAGAAGGAAAAAAGCGCACCCGTGAAACGACAGGCTCCACGGGGAACGGCCGCCCTGGCCATGGCAGAAACTACAGGCCGCCAGCCGCAGTGCAGCAACAGGTGGGCACCAACCGCAGGGCAGGCTCCCAAGCAGCACTGTGGATCCATAGGGGAGTCACCGCGCGGCTCCAGCTACAGGGTACTCCGGAGTTCGTAATCAAAGGGAGGGGGTCTGGACCCTCCAAGACGAGCCATTTCAGACCCCCCCCGTGGGAGAACCCTCCAAAACATCGTCCCCAGACCCCCCCAGGCCCGCCAAGATAGCCTGGAAGAGACCCCCCCTGAAATGAGACCCCCCTCCCTTTATTACGAAATCTGGAGTATCAGCCATGTGATCGTTTTCTTGCTTGTTGTTGTGCCGATCGGCGCGGGCCCTTGCACCCCTTTTCCCCCCCCCCCATGGAGTAGATTTTGGCTGTGTTTGGTGCTTGTTTCAAGCAGGTGGAGTCTCCCCCGTAGGACACACTGGTGCAAACAGTCGCACTAAACAGAGATCCCGAACCAGGTCCCCCTCCTCCCGCCCCCCCCTTCCGCCGAATGTCGAAACGCCGAATGTGAAAACATTAGCCGTACAATACCTATACGACCATCCTTCGGGTGATAAGGAGGTTGTGGGGAGGGGGGAGAGGGGGGGAACCAACATCTGACTCAACCGATCTCACTATCGATCTCACTCAACAGGACACCACAGGACACTACGGGACACTTGTCGATCTCACTGTCGATCTCACTCAACGGGACACCACGGGACACCACAGGACACCGCGGGAAACCTCTCGATCTCACTATCGGTCTCACTATCGATCTCACGATCGATCTCACTCAATGGGACACCACGGGACACCTGTCGATCTCATTCTCGATCTCACTATCGACCTCACTTTTTGGAAAATCACGGGACACCTCGGGGCACCACATCGATCTCAGTATGGATCTCACTATCGATCTCACTCAACGGGATACCACGGGACACCACGGGACACCTGTCGATCTCATTATCGATCTCACTTCATGGGACACCACGGGACACCATGGGACAACTCGGGGCACCACATCGATCTCAGTATCGATCTCACTAGCGATCTCACTATCGATCTCACTCGACGGGACACCACGGGACACCACGGGACACCGCGGGACACCGCGAGCCACCGCCAGACGGACGGACGGACGGACAGGCGGGCGGGGGAGAATCATTTGTCTTGACTTTGCCCTAGCAACGGCGGACACCACGGGACACCACGGGACACCGCGGGACACCGCGAGCCACCGCCGGACGGGCGGGCGGCTGAGAATCATTTGTTTCGACTTCGCCCTGGCAACGGCGGGTTCATTCCTCTCGCGCGCCCAAGCAGCTTCGCCTCGCCCCCACGCACGACACGAAGTAAACGAAACCATTTCTCGATTGGGGGTCTCCGTTCCAGTGCGATCTCACCCCCCAACCTCCGACCAACCGGTACCAACCAGAGGCCATCAGCCACGGGGCACCACGTGACCCAAACCTCACGGAGCCGATCACAGGGCACAGGGCACCGAGCGGCACCAAGTCATAGGGCACCGGCCACAAGGCACCACGCAAGTACGGAGCCGCACTGAGCATCGTATAGGGCACCACAGGGCGCCGGCCCTGGGCACTCTCGCGCCACGGGTCGACTGCGGCACATCGGGCCCGTTCCTTCCAGACCATGTAAGACCCTTTGCGTGAGTGCAAGTGCTGTTGCTCAGGGCCTCGAGCGGTTTTCGGGCGAGGAGGACGAGAGACGAGGAGGAAACGAGAACGGGGGAGTCCCGACCACCCCCCCCCCCCAGGGGGCTCCTTCGTAAACAGCTCTTGTGGAACCGAAGTCGGGCGACACTGGGCACGCGGCGGGACCGACCGCGCCCCCTGCCAGGTGGGGGGCACGATTGCTCTGCGAGCCACGTCCGCTGAGACAGCACGTCCGCGGGCTTGAGGAAGAGCGTCGTTTCCAGACCCCAGGCCCTTCCGCTTCGTTGACCCTGTCGGCTTGCCCCGTCGGCGAAGCGAGCCAGTCCGACTCGATCCAGCTGCGGGCTTATCATCAGCAGGGCCCTCCTGATCCCGATTGCGGTTGTAGGGCAACAACCGTTTCATACATGTTCTGTCCACACATATATATATATATATACATACATACATATATATGTGCATAGAGAGAGAGAGAGAGAGAGAGAAAAAAAAATAAAGAAAGAAAGAAAGAAAGAAAGAGAGAGAGAGAGAGAGAGAGAGAGAGCCGCCGCCGCTTCTCATAGGAGAGGACAGCCAGCGCGGGGAGGAGGGGGAGGAGAAGGGGGTGGAGGAGGAGGAGGAGGAGGAGGAGGAGGAGGAGGAGGGGGAGGAGGAGGAGGAGGAGGAGGAGGAGGAGGAGGAGGAGAGGAGGAGGAGGAGAGGAGGAGGAGGAGGCGGAGGAGGGGGAGGCGGAGGAGGGGGAGGAGAGGAGGAGGAGGAGGAGGAGGAGGAGGAGGAGGAAGAGAAGGAGTCCCCAAGCAGTGCTTGTACTGGGGGGCCCCTACCTGCGCCAAAAGACACTGCACGGGCCCGGCGGGGCTCCGCCACGCTGCCGCCCGTTTGGCCGCCTCGTTGCCGCCAGCCCGTGCTGGGTCTGGCGAGGACGCTCCACGCTGCCGCCCGTGGCCGCCTCTCGGCCGCCTCTCGGCCGCCTCGTGCGTTGGGTGCGTCCGGCGAGGCTTCGCCTCGTTGCGGGTCGTGGCCGCCTCGCTGCCGCGCACCCGCCCCTGGGCAGGCTCGGCGAGGCCTCGCCGTGCTGCCGCCCGTTGTTCGTCAGTACCACTGGAGCTCCCGTCGGGCACTCGGACGGTGCCAGCATCAGGTCCTTGGCATCGCTCGGACGTGTGCATTTTTTTCTCGGCGAGGACCTTCGAGGAGCATCCTCGACCATCTGGCGAAAAAAACACGCACGAAACCAAACAAACACACAGGAAATGGACGTCCGAGCGATGCCCAGGGTCGGGCATGTCCTCCGCCAGGCGGATGCTGGACGAAAGATCGAACATAGTCAAAAAACGATTCCCAAGCAGTCGAACCATACTCTAAGAAATCGTCCCCAGACTACTGTTTGACTATCTTTGAATATTCCCCCTGTATTGGGACAGGCCAGAATGAAAAACAGGCACAGGATGCGAGCAGGTTTCTCCAGAGCGTTCTTGAACGATCTGGGAGCGTCCAATGGAGCGTTTTGGGACGACCGCGTCGCCCAGGGCATCCTCCGAGGCCGCCAGCCCAGAGGTTCCCGAGGGTGCTTCTTCAGCCCGAATCGTCCGCCCTCCGTAGCATTAAGTCGGGCGCGCCCCCCTGCAGGGGGAATATGAAAAAATAGTCCAAAAATATGTTGGGAGCGATTCTTTGATTGTTTTTGACCATTCTGGATTATGTTTGGATTCTGTTTAATTTTTCGTCCAAAATCCGCCTGTATGGGGGACATGCCCGACCTACGCGTAGCCATGGTGGCTCAAGCAATGCTGAATCAAGGTTGAGGGTTCCAGTCGCAGCCTCGCCACACCACGCCAGGCAGGGGGCGTCTACCTGTGTGTGTGTGTTGTGTGTGTGTGTTGTGTGTGTGTTGTGTGTGTGTGTGTGTGTGTTGCACGCGACGGTCCTGCCCCCATGGTGAAGGGCTCTCAGCATACGAAGGGCGAGCGCAAGAGCACACCTCGGGACAAGGCCATGACAGGTTTTGTTATGATGATGTATGACGTGCTTGGTGAGCACTGTTGGAATGGTTGCGGCGAATGTCTTCGACAGTATGCGATCCGGCAGTTTGTATCCAATCACATACATCCAGTTGGCGACCGTGATCGTTTTCTTCATGACAGTTCTGGTCAGTGAGCGGATATGGGGTCTGACCCGTATTTTCAAGATGACGGTCGTAGTTGCTATGTATTTCGTTAGCGTGTTCATTGTTGTGTTATCGAGACCTCTGGATAATTTGCAGATGTTCGTCATCTTGACGTTGGATTGCGCCACCATCGTGCAGACTAATGAGGACGAGCTGGCCTTGCAGGGATTGTTGAATGTGGTGTGGTGTATGTGTTTCTCCACACGCTGCCTGTGAATTGAACAGGTCCAGAGATTCACCCAGTCGAGTTCTTCCCCGAATACCACGTTGGGAACCAGCTCTTCTGCAGCATCATTCCTGCTTTGTTAAATTATCCGTAAGGGCTTCGCCCCTTGCCGCCGGCCCCTGTCTCGGATAATGGGAAATGCAAAAGCTAAATCATGAGGTCTGGGCGCCGCCGTGAAGCAGTGTCGGGACCTGTTTGTTTTTCGACCCTGACCCTACGGATCTGCGTCACGGGTGCCACCGAATTCTAGAAATGTAGCAAATCTGGTGTGTTTTTGAACCCTGACCCTGCCGATCTGCCTGAGGGGTGCCGCCGAATTTCAGAAATGTAGCAAATCCTTTATGCTTTTGGACCCTGACCCTGCAGATCTGCGTGAGGGGTGCCGCCGAATTTCAGAAATGTGGCAAATTCCCTGTGTTTTTGGACCCTGACCCCGCCTATCTGCGTGAGGGGTGCCAGCGAATTTCAGAAATGTGGCAAATTCCCTGTGTTTTTGGACCCTGACCCCGCCGATCTGCGTGAGGGGTGTCAGCGAATTTCAAACATGTGGCAAATCCTTGTCTGCGTGAGGGGTGCCAGCGAATTTCAGACATGTGGCAAGTCCCATGTGTTTTTGGACCCTGACCCCGCCGATCTGCATGAGGGGTGCCGGCAAATTTCAGAAATGTAGCAAATCCAATATGTTTTTGGACCCTGACCCCACCGATCTGCATGAGGGGTACCACCGGATTTCAGTAATGTGGCAAATCCCCTTGTGTTTTTTTGACCCTGACCCCGCCGATCTGCGTGAGTGGTGTGAATTCTGACCCACCTCATAAATTCAGCACACGCTCAGGGCGTGGTAAAAATATTCGTTTTGGGCATCCCCCCCATCGCGCGGTCCATCAACAAGGACAGTAGGCAGCAAGAAACATAACTGTAACAGTGGAAACTGGAATCTGCAACTGGCACAGGAAACTGAGAACCTTCGCCCTACAGCCTGGTGGCCCCACAAGGGGGCCAGCGGATTTGCTGATCGTGTCCCATACCCGGGACTTGCGCAGAGAGTCGGCGCGAGTCAGAAATTCTGTGGAGTTGGTCCCCACGATCGCAGAGGCTCTCAACAATTTTGACATTGAGGCGTCGCAGCGCTTGTTGCCGGAGAGCTCCGAGGACGAGGACGGGGTACCGATATGCGAGCAGCCGGGGCAGCTGATCCGCAATCTGCAGGTGTACCGAGCTTTCTTGCCACATTGCATTTTCCCCGAAGAGCGTCGGGAGCGACAGTGACCCCACTGGCGGGGCCATCGCGACAGCGATGTGGAGTAAGCCAACGTTTTTGGGACAACGCAGCATCAGCAGCCATGCGACTGAGAGATCCAGGGTGTTTCTTGAACGACTGCCACTCGGACGTGGCAGCTGCGGCCCCCGAGCTGCAGCTCTGCAGCCAAGGGTCAGAGTGCTCCTCCCGACGCACGTCTTCAGAGGAGTGCGAGCGCAAATTGGGAGCGCCACACTCTGTGTAGTGTTAAGCCGGGAATGTCCCTCTCCAGGTGGAATATTCAAAATCAGGCCACAAATAGTCTGGGGCAGAGTTTAGGCAAATGTTTGACTATGTTTGATTAGTGTTGGGGTATTCTCTCGATTTTTTCATGCCGAATCCGCCTGTGGGAGGACACGCCCGACCTAAGTGTAGTGCTCTGCCCGCCGTGACACTGATTGGGAGGAGATCTGTTCTCCTTGGGCGTCGACCAGCGGGGAAAGCCAGCGGTGAGAGCCGCATGTGAAGGCTTGGTGGCAGCCCCAGTTGGTGCCCCAGTGCTAGATCCCGACCCGACCGACCTGAGACATATTGAATCGCTTCGCTCATTCCGCCGGCCCTGGAGCGCTCTTTCTGGCCTCTTGGGGGCCTCTTGGGGCTCCTTGGCGGCGTCTTGGGAGCCCCTGGGGCCTCTCGGGAGGTTCTTGGGGGCCTCTTGGGGCGGGAGTGGGAGGTAGTCGAATGCGGCTCCCCCCATCGGAGGCCACGATCCTCGTGAGGGGTGTCGAAAAATGGCCCTCCCCTGGGGCGTTCTGGGGGGACCGCCTGAGACATATTTCTCCAATCAGTGCTTGCACTGAAGGGGGGGTCCTGGAGGAAACTGAGAGATTTGGCGAAAGTTTCCTGCCGATTTTTTGGCCGGCTGGGTTCCTGGGTTCCAGGCTCAGGGGGTTCTCGGGTTCCTGGTCATTGGTTTCGGGCCGATTTTGGTGGGTTCCGGGTTCCCAGGTTCCCAGGTTCCCGGTCGATCTCCTTATCGATCTCTTTATCGATCCCATTTCAAACCATCCATTGATTGGGTTTTTCTCTGGTGTAAGTAATCTTGATACGTCGATGGACCAGGACTGGATGCTGGAGCTTTTTGTGCGGGCTGACCTCCTCCGAAAGGCCGCAAGCTCTGATCCAGGGGCATTTGGAACTGAGAGTTGGACCAGTTGGAGCAGAAGTCCCTGTCCAAGTAAGCGCCCAAGCAGTAAGACTCCTACAAAGTCTCGTGCTTTCGTCGATCACGGGCGCACGACGGCGTTCCTTGCGCTGACAGCGCTCCATGACATTCTGAAGAATTCGATTCTGCTGTCAGATGTCCACGACAAGCACGCGCCGTACCATGGACTCCCTGGGGGCGATTGGATCTACGGCCACGACCTCGCCCGCAGGTATATCATGGAGCACTTCCCCTGCTCGTTGCCCAGTTTTATCGGGCCGAACGAAAGGGGGAGATTGGGAAATGGGGGGATACGAAATTTGCTGCAAGCAGCTGGTTTCTGCCCCGCCGCCGGGCCCATCCCTCGATACATGGGCGCCTCCTGGCGCCGGGAGGCGCCAGGAAGATCGGCTCCGAGAGCTGACTCCCAGACTCCCCCCTTTGCTGTTCCCCCCTTTCGCCCGGCCCGATGTTGACGGCCTGGGGCCGGCGCAGCGTGCCGTCGTCTGCTCCACGCAGGCCAGGACGGAGCTCAACAACGGCTGGCTCGTGCAGGGGGAGGGGGAGCCGCCGGGCGCCCTCTTCTCCAAGTTCAAGGAGGTCATCACGCTGTCGAGCAGTGGCGAAGCGTCCTGGCTCGCCTAAAGCCCCACCAAACAATGGTCTAAGAACCTTGGTGTGGTTCCCACGAGATGTTCTTAGAACATTTCTGGCGGGGACAGTCTTGCTTGAGCACATCGGGCTTATGTTCTAAGAACCTCGTTGTTGTTCTTAGAACAGCTTTGGATTCTAAGAGCACTTCGTGGTATGACTGTAGGAGTGCCGGGACGGTCGGTCCCTGCTCAACGCTCTGGGGGGAGCGTCGCGTTCCGGCCTGAGCCTCCACTTCGCTCACCGGCTCACGGGCATGGCGGGGGCGGAGCCCTTCGGCGACAGGCCCCGGCCCGGTTCCGAGAAGCTCGTGCCGAAGTTCCCCCTGAAGGTCCTGAGTGCGTTTTTGGACCCCTTCACCCACGCGAACCACTTCGGCCTGCACTCGGAGGTCCAGGTCCTGGAGGACTGCCTGCGGGCCCGCCGGCAGACCTCTGGACCTCCTGCCGCCCCCGAGGCCGCGCCGTGGCTGCGCCGTGGCTGCGACGCGGCTGGCGCTCATGGGCGCAGGGCTCCGAGCGGGCCGGCGTGGCCGCCACCGGGGGCCCCGCCGGCCCAGGCGGCTGCGGGCGCAGTGGAGCAGCGCCCCGAGGCGGAGCTGCGCGCGCCGGCGGCTGGGTCCACGGCGCCTGCGGCTGGGCCCGCGCTCCCCCCCTTCTCCTCCTCCCTCTCCTCCTCCTCCTCCTCCTCCTCCTCCTCCTCCTCCTCCTCCTCCTCCTCCTCCCTCCTCCCCCTCCTCCTCCTCCTCCTCCTCCTCCTCCTCCTCCTCCTCCTCCTCCTCCTGCTCCTCCTCCTCCTCCTCCTCCTCCTCCCCCTCCTCTCCCGCGGCGGCGGCGGTGGCGCCCTCTGGCGGGGCCCTCTGGCGGGGCTTCGGGGGGGATTGACGAACGAGATGGGCACGGAAAGAATGGGTACACAACAGCAGTCCCTGTTCATTTTGAACAGGACTCGCTGTCCGCGCCGCCGCGGCCTGTGTCCAATTCGAGACAGAAGGCCGCCTGCCCAACAGCGGCCGCTGTTGGTTTGGGACAACACTTGTTGTTGGGCATTGTACCCATTCTTTCCGTGCCCATTTCGGGCGTCCAGATGGGGTACTGCGGCCCCGCTTTGAGTCAGACGGCGGGGCCAGAGCACGTGGACGGTGCTCTGCGGGTGCTCGCGGCGGTGTTCCCGGCGGCCCGTGAGTTGTTCCCGCTGGCTGCCGCGCGGCAGGCGGCGGAGAGCACGGCGGTGATCCGCATGGATGCCATGAAGGCGCTGGCGCCCAGCCAGAGGGCCGTGGCTTTAACAGCGTACCTCTCTGGGCGACGCCATGGTCTGCACGCGCGCGGAGCCAGTCATCAATCAGGTCAGTGGCGCTGGACTTGCAGAGACCACTGTCAGGCTGACAGGATGAGAACCAGATCTCACGCGGAGAGGCGTTTGGGGAGCCCTCAAGTATACATGACATACTGTTGCTTCTGGGCAGCTGTTATAGGCACTTACGCCCGCGAGATGTTGGGTCGTGCGTACAACTTCGACCTCTCCCCGCAAACGCGGGTCCTGCCGATCTTGTATCTCCCGTGTCGCATGGGCACGGTTGCTGGAATGGTACATTGCCGAATAGGCCCGCATGAGCATGCGTTTCATTAAAGCTACTGGAATGGTACAATGCCGAATAGGGTCGATTTCCATCATTCCGACCAAAGAGTCCTTGTGGAGGCGCGTTCTTTTCGGTCCGAAACCGCTTTGAAGCCAGGCTGCATGAAAGCATTGTGTTGGGGCTGATTGGGTTCCTTGGGCAGCGGTGGGACAGGGTGTGATCAAAGTTGGGCAGCGCAAGCCGGAGCCGCTCGCTCATCCGCACTGCAGCGAGCACTGGAGGAGGCTTGGCAAGGGTCTCTCATCCCGTTTCCGTCTTGTGTGCTTTCTGTTCTGCCTCCCAGGCAAGCTGGTCCCAGGCCGCTCGGCCTCACCGCGGCGTTGGTGCTCCTCGTGCTGCTGGCGCCGGTGGTGCTGCTCGTCGGTGCGGGCCTCCTGCACGGTGGCAAGGGGTCCCAAAACAATGACGCCAGCGCCCCTCCATGCAGGGCGTTCCAGAAGGGGCCTCGGCTTCTCGTCACCTCGCGGGCGTGCTGCTTGACGGTGCGGGGCCTCTGCACGGTGGTTTCGGGCAGTGCTCGACCTGGACGGTGTTCTGGCGATTTCGTGAACCGTGCTCGTTCTGATGCTGTTCTGCAGCAGAGGCGAGACGAAAACAAAACGAGGGAAATCGGCACCGAAACGAGGACAGAAAAACCCGGCTTTGGGAGAGCCTTGGTAGAGGGTCCCAAATAGTGATGGAAGCGCCCTTCACCCAGGGCGTTCCAGGGCGGGCGCCTCGGCTTCCGGCGCGTCTCGCTCTCGGCAGAGGTGAGAGGCGGCGGGTCCGCTGGAGGGAGGTCGGCGGAAGGTCGGCGGAAGCAAGTCGGAGGGCCCGCAGCGGTGTGGTGACCGTACCGTGTGCTCTGCGTCCCCCAGTAGTGTTCAGTCGGGCCTGTCCCTCAACAGGAGGAATATTCAAGTAGCTTGGCGAAGGACCCAGCCATACGCAATTGTGGATACAGTAATTGTGAATACCATCTTCGCCCGCGCTCCCTATGTGGCCACGGCTTCCTGCCGGAGCCCGACATGCTCAGGGACACGTTTGTGGCCGTCTTCGCGGGCGCCGACGACCACGAGGACGGCGCCCCCCTGACCGAAGAGCAGAAACAGGAAAGGGTTCTGAGAGCCATGAGGGAGACTGCCATTGGCGCCTTCGGTGGAGCTCCCTATGGGGCCACGGTCCTCGTGAGGGGTGCGCCGAAATGGCCCGAGGCCGCCATGCGAACCCTGCCACTGGGGGCCTTCGGTGGAGCTCCCTATGGGGCCACGATCCTCGTGAGGGGTGTGCCGAAATGGCCCGAGGCCGCAATGCGAACGCTGCCACTGGGGCCTTCGATGGAGCTCCCTATGGGGCCACGATCCTCGTGAGGGGTGTGCCGAAATTGGGCGGGGCCACCATGCGAACGCTGCCACTGGGGCCTTCGGTGGAGCTCCCTTATGGGGCCACGATCCTCGTGAGGGGTGTGCCGAAATGGGGCCACCATGCGGGCCACCATGCGAACGCTGCCACTGGAGCCTTCGGTGGAGCTCCCTATGGGGCCACGATCCTCGTGAGGGGTGTGCCGAAATGGCCCGAGGCCGCCATGCGAACGCTGCCACTGGCGCCTTCGGTGGAGCTCCCTATGGGGCCACGATCCTCGTGAGGGGTGTGCCGAAATGGGGCGGGGCCGCCATGCGAACGCTGCCACTGGGGCCTTCGGTGGAGCTCCCTATGGGGCCACGATCCCCGTGAGGGGTGCGCCAAAATTGGGCGGGGCCACCATGCGAACGCTGCCACTGGGGCCTTCGGTGAGCTCCTTATGGGGCAACGATCCTCGTGAGGGGTGCGCCAAAATGGGGCGGGGCCACCATGCGAACGCAGCCACTGGGGCCTTTTGTGGAGCTCCCTATGGGGCCACGATCCTCGTGAGGGGTGCGCCAAAATGCGGCGGGGCCGCCATGCGAACGCAGCCATTGGCGCCTTCGGTGGAGCTCCCTATGGGGACACGATCCTCGTGAGGAGTGCGCCGAAATAGGGCGGGGCCGCCATGCGAACGCAGCCACTGAAGCCTTCGGTGGAGCTTCTTATGGGGCCACGATCCTCGTGAGGGGTGCGCCAAAATGGGGGGGGCCACATGCGAACGCAGCCACTGGGGCCTTCGATGGAGCTCCCTATGGGGCCACGATCCTCGTGAGGGGTGTGCCGAAATGGGGCGGGGCCGCCATGCGAACGCTGCCACTGGGGCCTTCGGTGGAGCTCCCTATGGGCCCGTCCTCGTGACGGGTGTGCCGAAATGGCCCGGGGCCGCCATGCGAACGCTGCCACTGGGGCCTTCGGTGGAGCTCCCTATGGGGCCACGATCCCTGTGAGGGGTGCGCCGAAATGGGGCGGGGCCGCCATGCGAACGCAGCCACTGGAGCCTTCAGTGGACCTCCCCATGGGGCCACGGAGCGCTGTACTGGGTGGGTGAAACGCAGGGAGGAGGGGGGAGGAGGGGGAGGAGGAGAGGAGAAGGAGGAGAAGAGGAGACGCGGGCCACCGTCCTTTCAAAACGAGGACCCAACACCACAGGATGCTTGGGACAAATAGTTTAGAAAATAGTCTGGGGAGTAGGTTTGACTATTTTAGCATTTGGGGAACATTTGTGGGGCAACTATTCTTAATTTTTCTCCCAAGCTCCCCTGTAGGGGGACACGCCCGACTTAACAATAGTGCTGGGGGTACCTGTAGTCCGGGGGAGGGGTACCTGTAGTCTGGGGTGGGGTACGTGCGGCCCGGGGGAAGGGTGCCTGTAGTCCGGGGGGGAAGGGTACCTGCAGTCTGGGGAGGAACGCGTTAACACACGCGTGGATGCAGGGGGTGCACGCGTAGTCCAGGGGAGGGGTACCTGTCGTCCGGGGGAGGGGTACCCGTCGTCCGGGGGAGGGGTACTTGTAGTCTGGGGGAGGGGACCGCGTTGACGGAACATCAAAGGGGTAAATGCGAGCATAGCGAGCGTTTTGCCACGTCCGAGGCTGT